AGCCCTAATCTATCCAAACGCCATGCAGAAAACAAGCACTTGCAGACAGACCTGACAAAGTCATACGTTTAATAAATCGGCATCCTTTTGATCTGTTTAATGCAACTCAATCAGAATGTTTATTAAGAGTTCATCCCACTATAGTAAACCAGATCAACCCTTTAACGCTGCAGTCACACAATATCAGAATGAAAACCTCTCATTATTCCTACTTAGGAGTCTTCATGCATTTTTCCTAGATGGTTACTCCCACTACTAACCCCGTTGTCACATCATTTAAGCCTAAATGAGTTATTTTTGCATTGTTACGCATTTGTAGTGATTTATTAACAATTGAAATTAGATGCTAATGTGTGGAACGCCTTTTAATTTGGCCCTATTAACTGTAATATTGAGGGGTCTGTAGCAGCTGTTTGTTGACACTTGTGTTGTTTCTTGTTCTTGTGTGGGAGACAGAGTTTGTGCCAGAAATTCCCCAAATCTCTGACACTGAATGGCAACAAGAAGCCTGAATGTTTCTGTGGCAGCTGTAATGTTGTTTCACGTGGGTGTGATCAGAAATGCTACATTCAGCGCAACAAAAACGCCATCGTCATGAAAAGTACACAGAAGTGAAGAAAGAGAGACATTAGCGCCACAAGCAGAGCACACCATCAGGACAAACTATCCACATTATTCCGGTAAATTGGTATTAAAATCATCAGTTTGACATGAATCCACTGTTCCTCCTCCTCCTCACCTCATCTGCGTCAACGATCTCCATGACGCGCTCCTTGAAGAACTTTGAGTAAACCTCGCTGGTGATGGCCGCTGCCTTCTTCATCAGGCCCAGCTCTCCGTCTTCCTTCACTGCCATCGTGTACGCAACCACAGCGCTGATGTCTACCTGCAGACAGGAAGCGACGGAAAAAGGGAGGTGTTGAAAATAGAGACACAAGACGTCTACTCTTTTATTCCAGCCTGTACGTCTTCTAAACTTAGTTTTCATTTGACATTTTGAATTGCATCTTACCTTCTCGAGTCCCTCAGCGGTGATCGTGTCGTTCCAGCTCTTCATGTACTCTCCGGGGAATTTGTCCTTGCTGAAGACACCCACCGTCTTGCCGTCTTTGCTGCCTCTGATTGCCTCGATCATCTTATCAAAGTTGGCCTTGTTGCTTTCATTCTGAGACATTAGCAATAAATGTTAGTTTTTAATCTGACAAGGGGCCTACATAGAGAACAAGTTCAAACGGCCTCCTGGATGTGGTAGTAGCAGATTTAAACCATACACGCCATTATTATAGTGTAATAGTTAATGCTGCTTGCTAAGACTCCATGCATCATATTTTATAAACAATTTCTCATTTTAATCAGTTTCTCTTAAATACTTAAAATTAAGAGACTAATTATTTTACTTAAAGTTACTTGAGAGGATTGGGGAGAAGAAAAAAAACCAAACACAGGAGTCTGAGATTAACATCCTGAATCAAACATTACTTGTGTGTGGCCAATTTCAACTGTCTTTTATGAGGGTGAACATTCATCAAAATGCTAGCATATACATATTGGTCTTTATCTATATTGTTTCTCAAACTCTGACAACAAAACTTCCTCTTTCGGACATCAAAAACAAAATCACACCCTCAAATCTTTAAATTGTGTGTGGATAATTGTACTACAGAAAGGAGTTAGTATGTATTCTGCCATTACCTCGGTGTCTTTACACAGGTTACCTTTTCTCTGGTGAGCAGGGTGATGGGCGGGACACCGTTGGCGTTCTCGTTGCCTTTTGTTACAGCCACCTGCTTGAGGAAATCCACCTTCTTCTTGCTGGCAAGGAAGATTATTTTGGTGTCACAAAAGACCATGATGGTGTCTGTCAACTCGTAGCCAAACAGCCATGTCTGGAGGGAGGGGTGGGGGAGAAAAGGATTACAAAACAGATGCACAAAGAGTTATTTACTCGTATAACCCTTAACATGAATATTTATCTTCAGCCAGAGTGAAACTCAGCACTAACTTACTTTATGGTCAAGTTAATGACACAAGAAAGAATTTAGCAGGTAAACACAGTGTCCTGTGTGATAGATCATGCTGCTGTGGCTGGGACATGACTTTACCTGTATGGCTGTGGATTTGGCGTACACGATCTCCTCATCCACTCCGACGGACACCACAATGGCATCGACTTTGCCAAACTCATCTTCTCCTTTCTGGAAATCAAATACACAGACAACAAAAAATAAAAATAAATAATTAACAGTTTTATGCCATGCATGAAAGAGCAAATTACAAGACGTAGGTGCTCCTACTTCATCTACAGTCATCCTTTAGAGAACTTCCGATAGAAGAAGAGTGCTTGTGATACATGAATAACTGGTGAGTGGAGCCAGGTAGCTAGTTGTGTTAGCATCACTGAAAGAAAAGTGAGTAACACTCAGAGCTTCACGAGCAACATCAGCACCTGATGCTGCATCACCTGGCTGTACATAGAGGGGGTGGCAAGTCTCACAAAGCTGCTTAAAGTCTCTAAATACCAGTAATAAAGCACCTGAGGCGTGCTTTATTAGTTCAACAGGAGCAGGCTAACTTAACTTACACATTGGCGTGACTGGGCTGCAACAGCAAAGGAAAACGCACCAAACAGCATCAAAATACAACTTCTGAGAACGACTTTAAGACCTAAAAAGTTGCCACAAGGTCACGTAAAGCAATTTAAAACATTTAGGACTTCAGAGAAAAAGTATTTTCAGGAGCCTGCAGACATCCTGCACATGTTAACCGGGATGCTGGCGTTATTCTGATGCTAATTAGCCAGCTAACATTAGCATGAAGCATTAACCTGAGACGCGCAAACCTGACAGTAACGTCCAACACCTCGGCAGACAAATGTCAAGCACACACGCGTGGTAAAATCGTGTTTTAATCATCCCTTTAACATTATTAATTCGCCAAATTAGCACACGACGCTTCACTGCCCGTTTCACTGCTTGGCTAGTGAGTTAGCTCGTTTGCAAACTTACTAGCTAGCAGGCTAGTTAACGTGGTGAATGGGCTGATGAGTCTGCTAGCATCAGACAGCTAGTCCGTTTGTCTGATACAAGATCCCGGGGAAAGATCCTCCAAACACGTCCGGATTGGAAAATACTTTTAAAGGATGGTGAAGAAGATGGAGGGCCTGGCTGTCGGCGCTGGATGCGGGCCGGGACACATCACCTCTCACGCCGACAACAGAGTCAACTCGCTGGGCAGAAAAAAAACGCGGCTAACTTAGCGGTTTGCTCTTTCAAGCATCTCACTTTCTCCCCCTTAAAATAAACCACAGTAAACACCTGGACTCCCAACACACACGCTCCGACATCACCCAGTTTTACCTTCCAGTTGCTGTACAATCTCTTGATCCGGCGGTAGTATGCTTCCTTGTCCAGGTTTACCGCCATGGCGAGTCCTCCGCTGCAAACTCCAGCTCCCGGCTTCGCTTCTCAGCAGGCCGGAAGATGAAGAGGAGGATGAGGAGGATCAGTGTCAACTAACAATAACGCACTTTTCTTTCCACGCCTGCTGAGGTCCACGCACCACTACGAGATGCTGCTGCTGCCCTTATAATTTCACCACAGAGGCCTTTCCCACTGAGCAGTCGTGTAGAAAAACACACCACACAATAATCCTAATAACCGACCACTCGGTTAAAACGCGATAAAATTATTAAAATATAATGTAACTTGGCTTTTCGCCACGCACACAACCACGCACGCACCAATCTGTTATAATTAAGTCCTCAGCTCCCCCCCCTCCTTTCCCTCCCGTGCTCCTGTTTCCTCTCCCTCCCCCTCCGAGTCCTCACATATCACTTTTTACAATAAACACGTTTTTAAAACCACGATGGCGCCACAACACAACCTCCCTGCTCGATTTTAACAAAACTGTTGTTAACAAATGTGTTTTAAAAAAGTCTAAATACTTGTTGAATTCCTGTCCTTTTTTGTTTCTGTAATTTCATCTGATTGTTTGTGGCCCATTTGAATGTAATTTGTGTCGCTGCACAGCCGCAACAGCGCCACCTGCCTTGTGTTGACCACGCTGCTTTTTCCCGCCACGGTGGGTTTCCCGCCATCGTCATCAAACGCTTCCACAGACGTAAATCTCGCGATAGAAATTGCAGAGATGAGATCACCTGTTTTTATGCCTTTCCGTGATACTTTTTGGGAATAACTTTTGTTTGATGAACATTTTATATAGTTTTGGTACATTTGGTATCAAAGACAATAAAACATTTAATTATCAACTGTATATTTCTAATTTTGATAAATTTTCATATTAGTGATTTGGTACCTTTTTCTATAAATCCAAAGGCTGTAAAAAATAAAAATTATTATAGTTTTTTGTTTACATTGTTATATAAATTAGCTCCCACCTGGCCTTGAGTTGTTGATTTTCTTCTGCACACTGTATCACGTGTACTTTATTCATCTATGTTGTTTTATGTTTAAAGTCCTTGTTCATTTAATTTAGAGAAGAAAAGCTCTTTAGAGCAAAAAAATCAAGATCAATCAAACACTCACATAGCTGCTGAGGCCAAAATGTGCATCACAAATGTATATTAAAACATAATATATTTTATATTTCTAATCTTGCTCAGTTTCATACTATAAAAATTCAAATGTTCACTTAAAAAAATGTATTTACTGGTTTTCATAACGGAGCAAACTCACATGATAAATGTTTCTATTAATCCAAAGGCTGTAAAAATAGATAATAGTTTTAGATTTTTATATAAATTCCTACCTGCCCTTGAGTTGTTTCTTTTTCTGTACCATATGTACTTTATTCATCTTTATAGTATGTATAAAAGAAAAATCCTCCCGTTTTCCTGATATTCAGTGTCAAAACAGACTGCTTCTTCCATGTAAGTTAGTTATAATGAACAAAATAATAAATAAATTTAATTATTTGTATTGCCTGTGAGATCATTCAAACACTCACACAGCTGCTGAGGCCAAAATGTGCACCGCCAAATG